GTCACTGAATCAATCCACCTCATAGAGGGCCTTCCTCTCCTCCTACGCCGTCCCTCCACCCTCCCAAGCATGATGTCCCTCTCTAAGGACCGGTCTTTCCTCACTACATGTCCAAAGTAAGTTAGACGGAGCCTCAGAATCCTTGCCTCCAAGGAGCCACCCGGTTTAACCCTCTCCAGGACAAGTACTTTTTTTAAAGCTTAAAGTTTCTAATTTCCTAATCTGAGCATTGTCAAAATATTATAATCTCATCTTGTTCCTGGGTATGGTAAATGGAAAATGAGGTCAGAAGTAGATAGTGACTTACCTCGTCCAATAAATACAGCCCTGAATTCTGCAGTTGTAACCTTGATAACCCAAACAGAAACCATTTCTAGGTTAGGGATTCAGGAATAATTTTGTAGATTTGCCTAATTTAGACTTTTCACTGTTACCAACCCAGTTGAACTTCCATATCATTGTGTGCCAAAGAATGCCGCCTCAAAGAACCATGGCCTATGTATGCAAGAACAGAGAGCACTTTATACTGCAGAATAGTGCTCCGCATGCAGAGGTTCCCTCCCTCAGTGGCAAGATGGCAAGCAAGAGAGAGCCCCAAGTCCCCACACGCGATTGTTTTTAAGGCCTTCCCAGGTGCTTCTGTCCAAGGCAGGGAGATTGGGAACATGGTTAGTGGGCAAGGGGATCAGTCATGTGGGTTGACTTTTGGTTGGTTATCTACTTTGCCGCCTTCGCCCTCTCTGAGTCACGTACACACTTTGTCCTTGCTTTGAGTTACGTAGAGTGAGTTAATTTTAAACTTTACAAGGACTGATGAGACTATACCTGGCACATCTTGTGTTTGCTGTACCCTTCCTAAGCTAAGAATTTTTATGGCCCACCTCTGCCTTTGGAATTAATGGGTTCTTTTCAAGGTTGGCTTTGGGTCAGGCTTCAGGTGGGCACCAGACACACAAAATGGGGTTTATGCTGTCCCCTCAATCATGAAGATAACATCTTTTTGGGGTTGATAGCCCATGAAACATTTTTTTACCTCTATTTTAATTTACCTCATTTGGAGCCAAAATGAAGTAAGAAAAGAGCCATTGAAATAAAGTTATAAAATACTTATACCTGAAATCTTTGTTTCTAGATAATTACATGACCCTATCACGTTTAATTGATCTCCTAAGAAGATGTGGAAAACTTGAAGATGTTCCAAGATTTTTCTTAATGGCCGAGAAGCGTAACTCTCGAGCAAAGTTTGAACCAGGATTTCACTACTGTAAAGGACTACATCTTTGGTAACTGTATTGGCAAATTAATCTTGCATTTAGGTGTCTTTTTTCCTCATTATGGGTAAAGTAGAATAAACGTACTTTTTATTAAAAAACTATTAGGGTATTATCATTTAAAACATGTTAGTCATTTCATTTATCATATTGATTATATTTAAAGTTGTAAAAAAGTTAATGACTAGTGATTTTTTTTTAATCTAATTAGGTACACTGGAGAACCAAATGATGCCCTTCGTCATTTTAATAAAGCTCGGAAAGATAATGATTGGGGCCAAAATGCCCTTTATAATATGATAGAAATTTGTCTGAATCCAGATAATGAAACTATTGGTGGTGAAGTATTTGAAAATCTGGATGCAGACCTGGGGTAAGTACCTTCGTGTGTGTGTGTGTGTGTGTGTGTGTGTGAGAGAGCGAGAGAGAGAGAGAGAGAGAGAGAGAGAAGCTTGCCTTAGAATAATATTAAGTAGAGTTATTTTCAAAAGTTAACTGAATCCTAGGGTAGCACTATTGGAAGGTCACATAAATTAGTCATAGCTAGAATATCTGTTCTCTGAAACAGACAGGACATGCTTTTAGAAAATTTCCAAAACGGATATAGACATTTAAAGAAAACTCAGAATCTACTGCCATCAAAGTGATTATGACTCACAATGACCCTGTGACAAAGTGGAACTGCGCCATAGGGTTTTCTGGGGCTGTGAATCTTTATGGAAACAGACTCCATATGGAACACATGATAGCTGTATGCATTGTCTCATAGTCTCTACTGCAAGATAGTGAAATAAACCTTCCTCTTAACCCCATGTGTGTACTACAGAACAAAAAATGATAGAGTACTTAAACTGCAATTTGAAATTTACAACCTTTTGAAAGATGCTGTGGGTTCTAATGTGAGATCAACATGGGGTAGACTTGTGTGTCTGACAAACAGAGGTTTAAATTCTAGGTTTTTTACTTACTGAGTGAGTAATTTGTTAAAGCAATTACTCAACCTATCTGAATCTCAGTTTTCTCATGTAAAATGGTTTAAAATAGATGAAATAATATAGTATTTGGAATGTAGCGGGACTCCAGCAAAGTTAGTTTCCTTTGTCTTCCTCTTTCCCCCTTCTGAATAGTTACATTATTTGATGATTTCCCAAGCTCAAGGACTCATACAGCAGTTCAGCTTTCATATTAACTGAAATTGACACATTGACTGCATGAAGATTTCTAATTTTTGTCTTCATTCTAATGCTAAATTATTCTTTATTGAGACTGTATTACTCTGTTTTAAAAATGCATTTCTAATGGTACTTTATCTTAGGAAAGAATAAATGACATCTTTCAAAAGAGATTCATTTTAATGACAAAAGTAAAAAAGCCCTGTACTTCAGAACCTCTAATTCTAATCTTAGTAGATTTTACTTTTGAATAACTGAGGAGGTGTTGTGGAGGATTTTTTGTTTGTTTTTCACCATGTACAGCAATCCAACTGAGAAGCAAGAGTCTGTGCAATTAGCAGTGAGAACAGCAGAAAAACTCCTCAAAGAATTAAAACCTCAGACTGTGGAGGGTCAAGTCCAACTTCGCATCCTGGAAAACTATTGTCTGGTGGCTACCAAACAGAAGTCTAATGTTGAGAAAGCATTAAGTACTTTCACTGAAATAGCAACATCTGAGGTGGGTAGATTTTCTTTTCAACTTAGTATTTTTTTCTTGATAGTTTAGAAACATGTATTTTGGTTAACGTACTTTCTGAAAATTGACTTATGGCTTACTAAACCAATACATGGTTTAGCATAGTTTTACACAATGTACTTTTGTCTCAAGAAGAGACATTATTACTATTTTGATATATCTTGATATTTTTATTTCTATTCAAATGGTATATTTTGAGAAAGAGAATTCTTTAGAAGAGAGGAAGTTAACTCTCAAAGCAGTTGCTTTATTCACTGGGGAATTTCTGTGTTACAGATACATGTTGTTGTTAGGTGACGTTGTATCAAGTATGAATTGTCATGACCCTATTAACAATGAGCCTGAACCCTGTCATATCTATCCTACACCAAAGCCCACTGGTATAGTCATCTATTGGTCCATTTTGGTGAGGGTTTTCCTCTCTTTTTGCTGACCTTCTACCTTTCCAAGCCTTATGTCCCTTTCCAAGGAATTGCTTCCTCTAACAACAGGTCCAGAGTATGTGAGATGAAACTTCATCATCCTTGCCTCTAAGGAGCACTCTGGTAGCACTTTCTCCAAGACATACCTGTTTGTTTTTGTTAGCAGTCCATGGAATATTCAGTACCCCATCCCAAGAATTCAAAGGCATCAATTCTTCTGGCATCCTTTTCCATTGTTCAGCTCTGAGATGCATAGTGATTGGAAAGATCATACCTGGAGTCAGGAACATCTTAGTCTTTAAACTAATAGCATTACACTCCAGGACTTTGATGAGCTGCCTGACAACAGACTTTCTCAAAGCTGTACATCTCCAGATCTCCTGACTGCTGATATTAAAGGTGTTGATTGAGGATCCAAGTAAGATGAAATTCTTGACAATTTCATTCTTTCTCCATGTTACCTATTGGCCCAGTGGAGAGGACTTTTATTTTCTTGATGTTGAAACATAATCTGTTTTGAAGGCTGTAGTCTTCTACAGCCCAGCTTTCAGCTTTCAGCCTTCAGCCGGTAGTTCTCTAGAGGAGGAGCCAACACCAGGCACCCTGTCCAAACATGCCTGCAGCTGCCAACCCTTCAGCCAGTGAGCCTCCAGAGGGGGAGCAGGGCTGGGACCCTGTCCTAGTGTCCCTCCTCAGAAAGGGTCAGACAGGGCTGCCCTGCTCCATGAGATTTGAAGGCATGATTGTTTCTGTGGTTTGCTGGTAGAAGTACAACACATGTCTGTTCATTTGCTAAATTGAGAAGCAATGTGCATGTTGCTATTTATTTCACAGCTTAGGTGTGTGTGTATATGTTTATTTGTTTTTTGTGTGTTCTTATCAGTATAGCACTTGTCTGTAAGTTTGTTGTTGTGAAGTAACTTGTCGGTTGCTATACTGGAAGCTATGTCACTGGTGTTTTAAATGCCAACAGGGTCATCCGTGGTGGATAGGTTTCAACAGAGCTCCCAGACTGAGACAGACACTTGGAAGCAGGATTGACCCTCCACTTCTGAAGTAACAGGTCTTTAAAACGCTATGAACGTTAGAGGAAAACAAGTTACTAGTGAGGTAAAGCCTAGATGAGAAGTCACTCAAAAATGGGGAGAAACAGCTGCAAATATTCACTACTAATTGGAGCATGGAATGTATAAAGTATAAATAAAGGAAAACTGAAGTTGTAAAAAAAATAAAATGGAACACACAAAGATAGACATTCTAGGCATTGGTGAGCTAAGGTGGCCTGGGATTGGTCACTTTGAATCAGACAATTATATGGTCTTCTATGTTGGCAATGAAAAGTTGAAGAAGTGTTGCATCTTTTTAAAAAAAAGACTGTTGCAAGATCCATCATGAAATACAGTGTTGTGAGTGATAAGTTAGTATGCAAGGAAGACTTGTTAATGCAATTGTTTTTTAAATATACACACCAGCAGCTAAAGCCGGAGATCAGGAAAAATTAGGAATTGAGGAATTCTGCTAATTTTTGCAGTGTGAAATTAACCAAACATATAGTCAAGATGCATTAATAATAATTGGTGATTAGAATACAAAAGTTGGAAATAAAGTAGAAAGTGGACTTCGGGACAGAAATGAGGCTGGGAATTCAATGATCTCAATGACTGAATTTTGTAAACTCAGTGATTTCTTAATCTCAAATACCTTTTGAAAAAAACACAAATGGCAACAATATACTTGGACTTCACCCGATGCTCTGCACAGAAATCAGAATGACTACATCTGTAGAAAGAATCATTGGAGAAGCTCAGTATGAGCAGTTAAAACCAGATCAGGTGCTGAATATGGAACAAACCATGGATAAATTTTATTATTAGGCACCATCGGGTTGAGTATGACTCGTAGTGACCCAATAAACAACAGACATGAACCCTATCCTGTTCTGTGCCATCCTTATCATCTCTGACACATTTGAACAAATTACTGAAGTTACTGTGTCAGTCCATCTTGTTGAGGGGCTCTTCCTCTTTTTTGCAGACCCTCCGTCTTTCTAAGCATGATGTCCTTTTCCAAAGAATAGCTTCCTCTAGTGACATGCACAAAAGTATAAGAAATAAAGCTTTGCCATCTTTGTCTACAAGGATCACTCTGGCTGCACTTTTTCCAAGACATCTATTTGTTCTTTTGTCAGTCTATGGAATATTAGTGCTCTTCTCCAACACCGCAATTCAAAGTCTTGAATTCAGTTAGTTCATCCTTATTTATGTCTAGCTCTCAGATGCATAGCAAGTAATTGAAAAGACTAAGGCTGAGTAAGGCATTCTTTAATCTTCAAACTAACATAATGCTTTGCAGTATTTTGGAGAGGTCCCTGACAATGAACTTGCCCAGTACAATACATCTAATCTCCTGGCTACTGTTACCAGGGATGTTGATTGTGATCCAAATAAGATGAAATCATTGACAATTTCAACCTTTTCTCCCATCTGTCATGATGTTGTCTGTTGAGCCAGTGACAAGGACATGTATTTTCTTGATGTTGAAATGTAATCCTTATTGAAAGCATAGCAGATCAGCCTCTAAACCCGCTGGGGGGTCAGCTATGAGTGGGTTCAAACTTGACGGCACATAACATTAATAGCAACAATTAGCAACACCTTTATTTGCATGTCTGAGTTGTAAGTTTGTCAATACTGATCTCATGTAATCTTGGTATTGGAAAAATTCCAAGTTGGTGTTAATTGACTAGGTGAGACATTAAAGTTTTCTACTTAATAAGTTAACCTAGCTGATTAGTTTGAAGACTAAAGTATGCCTAAATCAGTCCATGGTTTGAATTCAAATTAACATCATTGTTAGTCAGTATTTTTGAGAGGTTTCTAACAGTGGACTTGCCCAATATGTCTCTTAATCTCCTGGTCTTGTGTTAGGAGGGGCTATTCCTTGGAAAGGAACAACATGCTTGGAAAGGTAAAGGCTTTAGCAAAAGAGAAGACCCTCAACAACATGGACTGACATGGTGACTATGCAGTGGGCTCAATATGTTGGAGATAATGAGGATGGCACAGGATAGGATAGGATTCAGATCTGTTGTTTATAGGGCTTCTATGAATTATATGTGACTCCAGAGCACCAACAACAACAACAGTCGATCACATAGGAAGAGACTCCCCTTTCTTTCTCCTACAGAGCAGCTGATAGATTCAAAATGTGTGCTTTTGGACATAAAACGCAGCTCCTTAACACTAGGCCAGAGTTTATAGCAACACTGAAATAATTCCCTGTAATCTAAAATGAAACTTATTACCCTTTTTATCATTATAAGAATCTTATTCTTTTTACCCCATCATACCCACCTCCTTTTTCATTCTCTGAATTGTGCATTTTCCTTTCCCCACACAGTGCTCTATTTCCTCAATGACATGATATTGAGAAAGAAGCTCCAAGGAAACAAATTCCTATCCATTAGCATCTTAACATCAAGAAGACAAAAATCCTCATGCGTGAACCAAAAGATTAAAATTATCAATTATTTCCTGTTACTTGAATCTGTATCAACACCTTTGGTACAAGTAGTCAGGATATTAGGAGTTGCATTTCATTGTATAAATTTGTGGTTAGGGATTTCTCCAAATTGCCCAGGAACAATGACATGAGTCTAAGTTGCACTTGATTCAGGCCTTAGTCTTTTCAATCACTTGATAAGCATTTGAGAGCAGACAGGAGTAAGGATGACAGAAGAAGAATTGATGTCTTTGAGTTGTGTTTGAGAAGAGCACTGAATATCCCAAGGACTGGGGGAAAAAACACACACACACACACAAAAAAAACCCCACCAAACTGGTATGTCTTGGGAAAAGTGCAGCCAGAGTGCTTCTTAGAAGATAGTTAAACTTTGTCTCACATATTTCAGGCGGGTTGCTAGAAGAGACTGTTCCTTGGGAAGGAATATCATGCTTAAAAAGGTAGAAAGTCAGCAAAAGAGAGGAAGACTCTCAATGAGATGGATTGACGCAATGACTGTAGCAATGGGCTTAAGTGTGTTAGAAGTGATGAGGATGGCACAAGATAGGACAGGGTTTAGATCTATTGTTTATAGTGTCGTACTCAGCGGCACCGAACAACAATATCCCTTTAGCAAGGTAGTGAAATTGTGATAGGCTGTTAACTGAGTTTACCAGTTCAAATCTAACAGCTGCTTCATGGAAGAAAAATGGATAGTCTCCTTCAATAAAGACTGACTGATGCACAAGCCTGATGAAGTGTAGCTCTGAGATTGGATCAACTTGATAGCAGTAGAGTGTTAGCCGTTGCCTATAACTTAAGTTTTAACTAAGCATGTTTATTAAATGTCATGTTTGTTTTCCTACTCCATAGTGTCTTTTTTTAAGGTGGTATCTGTCAGTATATTTATAATGCTTTATATTGTATTTTACACATTGCCGTAACAATAACACCTGTGAAATATTTTGCATGATTTTCAATGAAATATATTTTACAATGTGTGTAACAGTTGTTTAAAAGAATGCATGCAGTGATTTATACAGCCAGTTCACTACCAGT